AAAAGGCTTGTTAAGCAAAGTATATGTATGCAGTGCAATGAAAGCTCATCTACTATACTGGTTAACAACCTGGGGAGTCCTAGGTTCAAATCCCCCATCTGCCATGAAGCTTATTTGATTACTTTTGGATAGTCAGCCTAATCAACCTTACAAGGCTGTTATGAGGATAAAATGCTGGGGAAACCCACGTACACTGCCCTGATCTCTTTGGAGGAAGAATAAGAAATAAACATGATAGAATATTTACAGTTGTACTACTAAGAAAGAAGAGACAGAAACTGAAGAGTGAATAGCAAAACCCCATCATTGTATAGAGCATTATAAGCATTTTTGTTGCCCCTGTATAAAAGATCACAGCACAAATTTAGAGAAGGTGGTGGTAATTTCTTTAGAGGCCTGAAGAGGTAATATGATGGTGGACATAGCTGATATACATTTTTCTATGTATGGATTTTGGTTGCCAAAAGAATATGCAAGCAGAAATGTATGGGCAGAGGTTATTTTTATCCCCATGAAGATGCTATGGGTCAGGAAGGGTCAAGTTGCAGAGAGCACAGAACTGTGTTTGCAAGGACTGAATTCCTCCACTTCTGAGCAACTAGCAAGCAATTTTCATCAAAACTTGAGCATTTTGAACATGTATGGTAACTCCTGGGGGTCCCTTCACATTTGAAGCTTTTTCTATATGGAAAGCACTTCAGTGTGAAATCAATCTCTTGATATTCACAAGAGTTCTCCATGGATATTGTAAAATAAAAAATAAAACAAACTTAATATCAATCATAGCATTCATGGCACAGAATTCTTATGCAGAAATAACAGTTGAACAATAAAGAAACTCACCTCTGAGCATATGTAGCATGTTTTTTTCCTCACCACTGAACTGAATTTTGTTCAGATACAGGGTTAATACAGTGATGATAACATCAAGCCCCAATACCTTTCTCCTCAGAAATTAAGCATACATACTAGCAATTAAGCAGTAAACTAGAACCAGACAACAACTATATTATGCTTCATGCTAACAAGAATTCATCCCTTGTTTTCTATCGATGTGCAGTAACATTTCACAAAAACAGGTTCTTCCAGGCTCTCTTTCCTGTTCTCCTTGACTTTTCCCAACTTAATTATTTAGCTTGTGTCAAGAACTCAGCAGGGCTTACTGAAGTTTTCAGTATTAGGGCGGAGTCTAGGAAGAAGAGCTTCGCTGAGCATGCACAGAGAACTTTCCCCTCACCACTGAGTAAACTAGCCTTCTGCTTTCCACATACAGCAGACAGAGAGGGGCCTATGCCCCCTGTTATGTCGTGTGCTTAACAAAGAGTCGGAGAGTGATTCAGCAAGAATGCGGCTTTTATTCTTCAGCTTTGTTACTTCTCCAACACGGATCAACATCAGTCAGCCAGGACAGCTTTAACACAGAAGCTGGCCTGCTTTTAAACCTTCCCGGCTAATGTAGCCACTCCCACTGTACAAATAACAACCTATCAGGTTGAACTGATAATGACCAATCACAAGCGATCCCGCTCCGTAAGGTGATTGGATGACACAACCTGGGCTAGTGCTCCTATTGGTTACATTAGGATCCTAGCCCAGGCCGAAGCTTATCATTGCACTTCAATGAGATGTTTCACATACATCAAGTCCTATACAGATCATGCATTCAAGTCCATCTGAATACATAACACCCCCCATGCCATTTTTCTAACCTAAGACATCCCCAAGAATGTTATTTCCCCAGGGAGGGTGCCACACGTCTTGATAGAGTACAACTACAACTAGGACCAGTCTCTCTCTTGCTCAGCCTTACCTACCTTTATAGGGCTGGTGTTGTGAGGGTAAAGTGGAGATGGAGATTATGGTGTTGTAAGCTGTTCTAGGTGTCCACTGGGGAGAAAAGTGGGGTGTAAATATCTAAATAAATAAATGTGGCCAACAGTTGTAGCACTGGTTTGTTTAAATCTGCTGGGAGATCAACTGGAAACAAAGCTGTTTGATATCTAATTGACCACTAGAGGGAGCAAAACACATGCCGAAGGGGGGGGGGACCCAAAGAAACAGGCGCTTAACAGTAAAATGAGAATGGGAAAAAGCCCTTTGAGTATCACTACAATGTGATCGGAATGAAATTACAGGGCCATATACCACTTAGGAAAGTTTCTTTGCAGTCTTTATGCTTAGCTTTTGCTGCCATAGGCATTTATAGGGTGCAATAAAAAAATAACGGAAATGTCGTTTTAAAAGTGGAGGGCTGGGTTTTTCGCTGGGACGGGATTCCAAGAACTGGGGCTGTATCCTGGCTGAAACAGGAGAGGGTTGGGAGGGTAAGCACGCACATCCCACTTTTCTGGCTGTACTATCATAAGCCTCCAGCTAAGAGCAGGATGCTCTTGCTGTGCCAACAAGTGCTGTAAAGCAAGCATGGCACGATTGGGACGTGAATTAACTTTACACCCCTACCTGCAACCTCTCCTTTCTGGCTCACCAAGCCACAGTCTTCAAAAGAGCTCCATTCTCTCTATATACATAATCACTGAATTAATTACACAATCTCTAGGGGTTTGCTGCCCTCTTCTGCCAGATGTTTTTCAAGGCACTCAAGAAGAGGCTTCTTGTTCAGAGAGACCTGTCCCGAGTACTCCTACGACCTGCAAGTTAAATATTTCATGTAATTCAGTATTTGTGTCACTGGAAAAAACAAAACAAATGACAAGTGAAAGAATATCCACTTCCTGGGTTTCTTCTTTATATAAGAAAAGTCCAGTTGTGCCTTAAAGGCAAAAAACATTTGTTTTCATATGAACTTTTGTGAGTCACAGCCCACTTCTTTAGGGGAAGTCAGGCAGGGAAATCTTAAGGGGAAGGTAATGAGGAGCTAAGGCTTAATATGAATTACCCATGAGGCTTTCAAATGTAAGGAGTTGATATAGAAAAATTAGGCGCAGGGGGGGAACTGGAAGGAGAAATGGTCCTGAACAAGGTTGTCACCCCCAGCCTGCCTTGACCCTGCCCCCAGCCCACCTCAGCCCCACCCCTCCAAAAGAGGGAGGGAGAACCTGCCAGCCAGCCCTAAGCAGGAGGTACCAGTCCAAGCTGGGTAGTCGGGTGAGGCTGGGCAGGTCCATCCGTTTCCAGATGAGGTGAGGCCAGGTGGGCTTGTTCCATCCCTCACTCCCAGATGTGTCCTATTCACCATGATGGGGGTGGACTGGGCAGTTGCATCCCTCACCATGGTGAGCCCAGCTTCCTTGCGTCTCTGTTTTGCACCTGCCCCTCTCTTCTGGCAGGGGGCTGGCCCCTGGGTTGGGGTAGCATCAGCAGGGAAGAACAGCCCCCAGGAAATCTGCTGAATTGGACTCTTCCTGGTGGCCCTAATGGCCAGTCTGCACCTGGTGAGGTGTGAGGTGATCTTAAAATATTTTATTCACTTATTTTATTCACTATTCACTTATCTGTTTAAATCTCTGTCCTCCCTCACCATCCAGGATATATAACTGCTAATTCAGTTGATTTATGATGGGACTCACAACTAACCTTTCTACAGCAACTCCTTTCTTTTGCTTGTTACATTGAGCTTTACCCTTGAAAGATTCAAGGTGTCATTCACACCAAGCCTTAAATCCCCCCCATAAGATTTGCCAGCCCACTTCCCTTTACATATTTATCTGAAGAAGTAGGCTGTGACTCATAAAAGCCCATATTGCAGTATATGTTGTTAGTCTTTAAGGTGCCACTGGACTTTATTTTGCTACAGTAGATTAACACAGCTACCCCATTGCAGTTTCCTTTAAATAGAAAATCAGAGCTATGGAGGAATAATTCCTCTGCACCTCTCACATCCCTTCCCCAGTACAAATCTACTGGATAACCAAACAAATTATGCTGAGCTGTTTCAGGAACATTCCTCTTTGGAGAAATCCTTCACCATGCTGATGAGATTGACATGCTCCTTCTGAAAGGCTCTTCTTAAGTAGTCTTGCTACTTGGATATCTCTCTAGATAGCTTTTGTGTGTGTGTATGCTTGTGAGCCTGGAAGTCATGGTGACCTCTGGTGACCCCTAGTGGGGCTTGGACATTTCAGAGAGGTGGCTTGATATTACCTGCCTCTGTGTCCTGGCCCTGGTATTCCTTGGAGATCACCCATTCAAGTACTTGCCAGGGTCGGCCCTGCTTAGCTTCGGAGATATGATGAGTTTGGGCTTGCCTGGGCTATCCAGGTCAGGGCTCTCCAGTTAGCTTTTAATTAGAAAAGGGAAATGATACACTTATACAGGTGAACCCAAGAAGCACCTATGCACACAAATGTGTCCTCAGGCCCTCTGTTGCCTTACAGAGGTCCTGTCCATACGAGGCCTTTTGGGCCGGGAGCGGGACGGAACGGGGGCGGAGCAAACGGGCGTGATCCCACTGCAACATCTGGGAAGCGTACCGTCTCTGTCCCTGATCCGGCCCTTCCAGCGCTGCTCCACACCAAAAAAGAACCACCTACCGAGGTGGTTCTTTTCGAAGGGGCGCAGCAACGCTGACCGTGGGATCGCCGGCGCGTCCTTGTGCCGGCGCATCCCCAGCTCCTGGCCGAACTCCACATGTGTGAGCATGCACAGTTCGCCAGGCTCCCCTCCCCACCGTTGCTTTCTCCCCGGCATCTGATCGTGCCGGGGAGCGACGGCGCCACGGCTCGGGGGATCCGTGAGATCCCGCCGCGCCGTCTCAACTTTGCTGCAGCTCACATTAGCCGCAGTTCGAGCGTCCTTTTCCCTGCCGTGTGGCAGGGACCAGAGTTAAGGAAAGGGCCACAAGAAAGAGTCTGCCAAGGTCTCACGGTATTCATATACCAGACATGGAGGAGGAGAGGAGCTTCAGAAACTTAACACGTGTTCTGGTGATGATGTGGCACAGTTGTCATGATGGACTCTGGTGACATCACAAATGCATAGCATGCAGCTTCTGGTGGAGAGCCTAGAGCTCAGTCAGGGTCCCTGGAAGTTCAAGTGAGGAGATGAAGTACTATGAGCTGATAACTACAAAAAATGTGGTAACTGCAGCTACAGGGGCTGGAGCCATCTATCTGTTGGCCAAGACTCTCCTAGCAGCGCTCCGAAGTCCTTCATTCAAGTCAGCGCCAAGAGATTTGGCCAGTGAGTCATGCGGGGTACATGGAAATGATGAAAAATCCTCACCACAGTTTGTGGTTTTTGTTCCCAAAGGGGTCATGGCCATACAATACGTCATTTGATGTAAATGTCTGGCAACGGCTCATATATTTGTCTCATCCTGGGCTACTCATTCTAGTTATTGTGTAATTAATGACACATTTTTCCCTTTCTGTAATCTTTATCCATCTTTTGTCTAGACTCCTATAAACTCTTTCTTGTTGTGCTCTCCTCTGTTACAATCATTTTTTCCTCCCATTGTTAGGAGCCCAGCAGAGGATGAATAGCTGACACATCTGTTGGAACTGGGGAGGGGGGGGGTCACTGGGTGAAAGAACTTACAGCAGGGAGGCTGTGGGATATAAGAAGACGTCTGTATATCTAGAACACCAAGGGGGGTGTTAAAATGTCTAAGGCTAATCATGCTATTAAAGCAAATTTGTTTAACCCCAGGAGTGCTTCATCCTTCAACAATTTCCCCAGCCAACCAGGCAATACGGTTAACCCCAGAATCTTGTAGGTTTCATCTCAGAACAATTCCTGAAGACAACCTGCATAGATTATTTTTGGTAGAAACTGGCTGTTCTATTACACCATCTCAGTTCTACACATAAGCCTGTTGCAATTAATTATATGAAGTAATGGGTTACTATACTTGTTTAGGACAAGAAGACTAAAGATATTTATGGAGGATGGGTATTAAATCTTACCATGTGTATGAGTTGCTGAAAATCATTATACAATGTTAATTTTAGTGGTATAATATCCCTTGGGAATGGAAGATGTATCCTGAATAGAATAGTAAATATTGGAGATGAGGCTTAATAAAAGGGGAGTTCTTACATATTTTGACAGTGACTCTTGAGATCAAGGGATTTGAGGAAGGAGTTTTGGATATTATTAAGCAGGCACACAGTGTTGTGATATTTTTTTACCCAGTTACAGTATAGATGGGTTATTCAAAGAGCATCATGAAAGTATCAAAACCCACAAACATATTTGGGAGACTCCCCAGGTTTGCAGAAAATATATTTTACGTTAACCAAAAGAAAATGTGAAAAATGCCTTGATGAGGACTGAGCATGTTCCAGGAAACATGTGATTTGAGTCAGTTAAGGAATGCAAGCAGGAAGGGATACAGAAATTGGCCCGATCAAGTACTTGAGAGTTTATGAGTCCTGAAGGGGAAAATCTTGATATGGAGGGATTTCCAAATGGTATATCTCTTACAGTTCCACATACTACTTATGAATTGTATACCCCAAATTTATTTATCCTTTAATAGCAAACTTCATATTTGAATGTCCATATGCAGGGCAGTAAAATGGGGACCACCAATGTACAAAGCCAGGGTTTCTGTATACTTGGGGGGAATTCCCTAGCTATATAGAAAAACTATTGTAAATTAAAAAGAAGACCCCACTTGGCAAAAAAGACCTTGATGTGGACTGAGTATGCTCATTGCTGAATGTTGAGAGTGGGTGAATGTGAGATAAAGAAATTTTTTAAAGGAAAACAGATTGATGGGGAATGCGGCCTGCTGAAGTCCCTGAGAGTTTATAGAATCAGAGAGAGAGAGATATTTGTGTAGGAGGGGTATTTCTCAACCATTTGTTCCGCAAGTGATTGCCCAGCTTGTGGGATCTGAAACTGAGATGATATTTTACTTACTGCATCTGTCAAATTGTTAATTGCAAATGCTGATTATTAGAAGAGCCACTTTTGACAGTCAAATGGTTCTCCAGTACACCGACTTTGCATACAATAATTAAATTAATTGTATCCAGTTCTGGCAAAATAGAATAACTGTGCCATCCTAAGCAGTTTACTCAGAATAATATTCAGGAGACTTACTCCAAGGAAAGTATTTTTAGGATTACACTTTAAGAGTCTCTGAATACTAAAAGATTTGGCTTGGATCCCATGGAGTATTCTAATTGATGGACGGATTTCTGCTAGTGAAATATGACAGTCTCAACTCTCACTTTCCACTTCAACCCAAATACCCCTCCCCTGCTGCTCCTGGGAAGAGCATTTCTGGGGCATTTTGAAGTGTAGTGGGAAGTAGAGTTGCCAGGTCCTTCCATCTCAGCCATCAGCAGGGAATGGGGTGGGGGATAGGGTTACCAGATCCAGGACTGGAAGCTCCTGGAGATTTGGGGGTGGAGGCTGGGGAGGACAGGGACCTCAGTGGGGTACAATGCCACAGAGTCCACCCTCCAAGGCATCCATTTTCTTCAGGGGAACTGACCTCTGTAGTCTGGAGATGAGCTGTAGTTCCAGGGGATCTCTAGATTCCACATGGAGGCTATAGCATCTCTAGTGGGAAAAAGAAGGTAAGCAAGTCATGTTCCACTAACAGAAATCGTTCCATCAGTTAACAAGGAAATGCTCTTTAAGTAAACTTTGTAAATGTTTATGACACTTAGGATCCAATTAATATTCATTTCAAGATCTTATCAATAGATTTTTAACTATATATTGCATTTATATGTGTTTAATGTTTGTTGTGGGGGGGGGAGTTAAAAACTGGGAAAATTTTATAATAGTGAAACCATAAGGTCCACAACAGTTTTATCTTCTCAGGTGAGAACTAAGCCTTAATTTTTTTTCTGTACTAAGATCTTGCTTAGATAATGGAATTTGTTATCATTGTCAACTGAGAATCTTTTATTGATCAGGGTTTTTTGGTATACTACCTTTGGGAACCATATAGTTGAATAGCTGTCATAGGAACATAAGAACATAAGAGAAGCCATGTTGGATCAGGCCAGTGGCCCATCCAGTCCAACACTCTGTGTCAGATGGTGGCCAAAACTCAAGTGCCCTCAGGAGGTCTACCAGCAGGACCAGAACTCCAGAAGCCCTCCTATCATTGCCCCCCAAGCACAAAGAATACAGAGCATCATGGCTGAGACACAGTGTTCATATGTTGTGGCTAATAGCCACCCATGGACATCTGTTCCATATGTTTATCCAATCTCCTCTTGAAGCTGTCTGTGCTTGTAGCCACCACCATTTCCTGTAGCAGTGAATTCCATGTGTTAATTACTCTTTGGGTGAAGAAGTACTTCCTTTTATCTGTTCTAAGATTACTCTCATTAATTTAAGTGAGTGCCCATGAGTTCTTGTCTTGTAAGAAAGAGAGAAAAGTACTTCTTTCTCTAGCTACTCCATCCCATACATAATTTTGTAAACCTCTATCATGTCACCCCTCAATCATTGTTTCTCCAAGCTAAAATGTCCTAACCTCTGTAACCTTTCTTCATAGGGAATGTGTTCCACCCCTTAATCATTTTAGCTGCCCTTTTTGGCATGATTTCCAATGCTATGTGATCTTTTTTGAAGTATGGTGACCAGAACTGTACACAGTATTCCAAATGAGGTTGCACCATAGATTTATACAGGGGCATTATGATACTGGCTGATTTGTTTTCAATCCCCTTCATAATAATCCCCAGCATAGCATTTTCCTTTATTAGTGCAGTCAAGCACTGAGTTGACATCTTCAGTGAGTTACCTACAACTCCAAAATCTCTCTCTCTCTTGGTCAGTTACTGCCAGTTCAGGCCCCATCAACATATATTTGTTGATAGGATTTTTGGCTCCAATGTGTATTACTTTGCATTTGCCCACACTGAACCTCATTTGCCATATTGACGCCCACTCACCCAACCTCAACAGATCCCTTTGGAGCAACTCACAGTCCCCCCTGGTTTTCACCACCCTGAACAATTTAGTGTCATCCACAAACTTAGCCACTTCAGTGCCCATCTATACTCACTCTCTGTTTCCTGTTAATTTTTTTAATCCACAAGAGGACTTGTCCTCTTATCCCATGACTGCTGAGTTAACTTAGGAGCCTTTGATGAGGAACTTTATCAAAAGCTTTCTGGAAGTCTAGGTAAACAACATCTACTGGGTCACCCTTGTCCACATGTTTGTTCACCCCCTCAAAGAACTCTAACAGGTTAGTGAGACAAGATCTTCCCTTACAGAATCCATTATTCTTCCTCAATAGCTTTTGTTCATCAGTGTGCCTACTCATTCTTTCCTTAATAATGGTTTCCACCAACTTTCCTGGTATTGACGTCAGACTGACAGGCCTGTAATTTCCCAGATCTCCTCTAGAACCCTTTTTAAAGATGGGAGTGATGTTAGCTACCCTCCAGTCCTCAGGAATGGAGGGAGATTTTAATGAAAGATTACATATTTTTGTCAGGAGATCCACAAGTTCCCATTTGAGTTCTTGCAGAACTATTGGATGCATGCCATCTGGGACTGGTGATTTATCAGTTTGTAATGTGTCCATCAATTATAAGGACTCCTCTCTCGTCCCCTCAATCCAAGTCAGGTCTTTCAACAGATGAATGGATAACAGCTATTAATGATGACTACATAAATTTATATTATTACATAGGTTGATGCATAAAATATTTTACAATAAATGATTTCTGTGTAGAAACATCCCATTGTTGCCATTGCCCTGAATCATAAGTACAACAGAATCCAAGGCAACATTGTCCGTAAGTGATGGAGGATTTCTTCTCAATTGGGTAAGTGTTTCACTGATGGATTGTGGTTTCCAGGATTTTCTGTTGAGTATCACCCGGCTCCATGTGCAAGATCGACCCTTCCTGGAGAACTCAGAAGGACCCTACAGTCTCTCAAACCAAACCTAGATGGCTCCTCCAAAAAGGCGGCACTTCACACCATCACCCAGTGTGTCTTTCTAAAGGAATCAGAGGTGAAAGTCCAAAGTTATTGGACCTAAAATGCAGCATGGAACAGCAAGGCAGAAGCAAATGAGGATAGGGCCCCATCTCAAATTTGGGCTTAGGCCTAAGGCTCCTCTTCATCTTGACCATGTTCCATTAGATATCTGTGAGCCTCATAGTACCATCCTAAACAGATTAAATTAGTTGAAGTCAATGTGCCTAGAAAGGTGTAACTCTGTTTAGGATGACGCTCTAAGTCTTTGAGATCTTCCACTTGTTCTGGGTTAAGGTGCTACTGGACTTTTATCTACTGGATTAAGGGATGAGACTGTTTCAGCAAAGAAAAGCAAATGTTTTGACTAGAATGTCTTTAAGGTGACCTGAGAAAAACAAGGCAGCCATTTCCACAGGAGCAAAAAAGTGCATTCAAGGTACAGGTTGCAGGATTGGGGATCTACAGCTGGGTTCTCTCTTCAGAGAGAATCAAAGGGTGGTTAGAGCAGGAGTGAGAGTGATTTGCCAGCCTTGATTTGCTACTTCATTGTATCAGGTATATTTGGTCCAGTGAGGCAAGGTATTTTGTCATTCCGAGGAAATTATCCTCACTCCCTCTTCCCCTGGGCTGAGGTGCAGGGTCTTGGCTCAAAGCTGGCCAGTGGTGGTACAAGTCCAGGAGCAATGCCTAACAATGGCCAGGAGCGAACCAAATACCTGCTGGGTGTCAATACCCACTTAACTGTGCCAGCCTAAGCAGTTGTTTGAATGGCTTGGCTGGAGAACCAGCTCTGCAGTGGGCTTTGTCAGTACAGAAAGCTTTGTCTAGGCTGCCTGGGCATGGCATTTGGAGAGGTCCCATCTCTGACTTTAGGTCAGTATATATCTTCTGACGTAGCCTCATAGGTGCAAGTGAAGGTTTCCTATTTCTGACTATGAACAGTCAAAGATCTCCATGTCCCTGTGACGTTTTGTGGATTCAGGAACTCTGGATTGCATCACAGGGCTGGGGTGCCAAGCAAAAAGCTATGCTCTTCCTACTTTAATGCTCCTTAGCATAAAGGGGTATTTCACCCACCACCACCCCAATGTAGGGGCTAACGGCCAAAACTATATATGTTTTTTCAGAATCCAGACCTGACTTGTTTTCTCGTGAAGAAAAAGTGTTCTAAAAGTCTGTGGGGACAAAGTTTAGCTCAGGACCACAGTGTAGGGGGATGAGGGGCTCCTGCCTCCCCCCCACCTTTCCTAAGGGGAATGGCCTCAGGGGGATTAATTGCCCCATTTTGGAGTTGCATATGCATGGAACCTGGATCTGACCAGGAAAAAAAAGTATAGTGTAACTTGGCCTAGTGTGTGAAACTCAAATATGTGTAGTAAAATCCTGCTGGCTTTCCTTTTACAAAAGAAAAGCCATTTGGAAAATGTGCAGTTTAGAGTGGATAAGTGGGGCACTTAACCATTTCACTCTCCGCCACTTCCCTCCCCCAAATGACTGCTCCCACAGTGGCTACACACACACAGGATCACAGCTCACAAAGTGTTATTTGGATGTGCAATAAGTATATGAAATACTGTAAAAATTTATATTCTTGCCAGATTCCCACTTGATGATCTGTTTCTTGCTTTCCAGGCAAGTACTTGTACCTATGATGATATAAAATTAGTGGCATCGTTCCTGGATGACCCAGAAAAAGTCATCAAAACTGAGGCTTTAAATGCTCTTAGAGCTTTCACAAGTATTTGGAAGTTTAAAATCAAAATCCAGGTAACTACTTACAGAAATTGTGTGTTGCTATCATCATCAATATATTTACTTTTCAGCATAGCTAAATATTTGGATACTTAAATCCAGACACTGGAGCCAGATCTTTCTACAAGCTTGAAAAAGCCTCAGGTTTGCAGAAAAATCTGAAATCTAAAACAAAAGGGGGGAGGGATAAAAATAGAAAAACATTTAGAGGTTAAAACACTCTGAAATAATAGAAACATTAAGAAATTAATGCCCTCTCAGTGGCAGTTGTTGGGGATGCTAGGCAACTACAGCTGTATTGCCAGCCTTCAAGCCTTGGTTTCTGTCAGTAAGAGGTGAGTGGAGGGCCCTTTCCAGGGCTGTTTTGGCCTTCGAGGAATGACATTTGGGGTCAGGCCCAAACTACTAGGCGTCCTGATATCACATGACTTGCATGACCCACCTGGAACGGGCTACTTGCTACTTTTCAACATCAGCTATGCCACCAAAGCTTCAGACGAGGTTCAAATCCCCACTTTTCCATGGAAGCTCATTGAGTGACCTTGGGCCAGTCACATATTCTTAGCCTAACCTAACAACAACAGGGTTGTTGTAAGAATAAGATGGAGAGAGTAGCATGTTGGAACCTGCTTTGAATCCTCTTTGTGGAGAAAGGTAATGATTTCCCATTGTGGAAAAAAAGCAGGGTATAAATGAAGTAAATAAAGGATAAATATAGCTGACGGTGGAGAGAGCAGATAAAAGGTAGAATGGTGGGTGGGTGGGAAGAGGGGGAATGGGAGAGAAGTGAGGAAATGAGGAGAGAAGGAAGGATACGGGGGTTACCAGGAGGAAGGGGAAAGGAAATAGTGTGGAGAAGGGGATACAGGGAAAATTAAGGTGCCCTGTACAAGTCCTTGTGTGTCCCCCTATATTATATCTAATTCTCAACATAGCCCCAGCCATGCATCCTTAAAATCAGGAGATTGGGACCACACACTGAAAAAGCAGATTTTTCTATCAATCTGGAGGGAGGTGCCCCAAATTTCCAAAAAAATGTGAAAAGTTTTAAAAGGAGGCTTTTAAATCCTCCCAAACAGAGGAATACTTGAACTTCTGCAGGCAACATACAGACTCTGTGAAAGGTGTGGGGGCAGGCAGGTAGATAGGCAGAGTGGCCAGCAGGCAGATTGGGGGAACAGTGGGGCATCACTGCTTTCAGGATTCCTCCCCCCCTTGAATTTCTCACAGGTCACCTGTGGCAGCTCTGCTGGGGGGGGAGTGGCTTGGGCAGAGCTGGGCAGCCACAACTGCTGCTGCTGAGTAAGCCAGGCCAGTGTAGGGGGTGGTGCTGCTGCAGGCAGGTGGGAGGGTGGGGATAGTGGGAGCCACCCACTCATTCCCCCCTCCTGCCGCCGCCACCAGCTGCATGAGCCAGGAAGGCAGGTGGGTGACTTGGCAGGTGAGCAGTCAGCCTGATAAGCAAGCGAGAGGAGGTGAAAGGATGGGATCTCTCCAAGCCTTGTGGGCCCCTGCTTGTTCAGTATCTAATAATTAAGCTCCTTGGCCTCATGCCAATAACAAAAGTAACAAAACCAGGCCTCCCCACAGATAAGGCAGGGGTCCCTATACTTGGGAGAACTCCTGGAAAAGCAGGAAAGTGTGACTTCGTAAATAATGAATTAAAACAAAAAGGGAAATCCAAAGGCCCGGGCTTGTAGAATATCTAAAGCCGTGAAGAATCAGTCGAAGGAAGGAAGGGGAGGGCAAATTAGCCTGCTCAAGCACCCAATAATTTATAGAATCTGAGAGGAGATTTGGAGTGAGAAGCAATTTCTAAATTGTCCCATCACTGCGATTACTTACAGAGCCTCAGTTAGTATAAACCCCTAGTTCTAAGTTTGTGCAGTTAGTCAAATGTTGTGCAGTTGCTCATGTAGCCTTTATTATTGATGTGGAAAAACAGCATTTAACTCTTTAGCTGCCCTGTATTCCTGTTGAAAACCACCATCCTCCAGGCTACAACTAGCCTCGGTGGGAAAAGTACAGGCCAAGATTTCTGTTTTTTTCCTGTTGAGGCTAATTGCAGCCTTGGGACAGTTTTGTTTGGTAATATGGTGCAAGAAGAAATAACGGACCCTCTTCCCTGCCCAGTGTCTCAAATACTGCAGCTCCATTTTGAATATCTCTGTCTGCATGGGTGCTTTTTAGGGTCATAAAGCAAATTGGGAGATCCCATCACTGATTTCCAGTGTAGTCCGGCCCCAAGAATTTTGTCATTTGTCAGATCATCCTCAGTTTTCCCATGAGCTGAACAATGGAAGCAGAAAGACCCAGTTCCCTATCTCCGGGGACAGATTAATAGCCATGATTCTTATTCTGTTGGAATATCCCCTGGAATGTGTGTCAGGACTCAGGACTCAGGCCTTTTAAGTTTAAGGAACTGTGTTAAAACTTGCCTTTTCAAGCAAGCATTTGGATTGGCTCAGTCAGAGTGGTTGTCCTTGGTCTTTTTACCTTTTAAAATGAGAGCTTTAAAGGCAGGCCTATGGAAGTTCTGGCTGATGTTTGAGCTACATCTGTTTTATTTATTATTGTTTTCCTGCCTCTGCATTTTATCTCCTGATGTTTTATTAGCTTTAAGCAGGGCTTTTTTTGTAGAAAAAGCCCAGCAGGAACTTATTAGTATAATAGGCCACACCCACCAGCACAAACTTATTAGCATATTAGGTCACACCCCCATGCCTTCCCTTGGCTTGCCTGGGTGCCCCGCGGCTGCAGGGAGCCCAGGCAAGCCAGCCCTTGGACAGGCTGGGGAAGGCATGGGGAAAGCATGGAGATCCTTCCAGGCCCCCCTGGCCAGCCCGCCTCAGAGTCACTGGGGGGGGGTCGCTCTCCAGGCCTTCCCTCTGTAGCCACGCACTCAGAGGTTTTGGCTGTAGTGGACGTGGCCAACTCTGAAGCCAGCCGGAACTCCATTCCTGTGCATTCCTGCCCAAAAATAGCCCTGGCTTTAAGAATCTGGTGGGGGGGGGAGGGTTCTTTTTTATATAAATTACTGTTTTATTATTTTCTGGAACCCTCCCCAGTAGACTTCCCGCCCCCCCCCGAGAGGTAAAATACAACTGTGTTAAATGTGAAATAATTTTATCAGAGCTCACTATGTCCAATGAATAAAACACAGTTGACAGAGGTCTTGTAGCCAGCATGAAAGTACACAGAGCCATAGACAGTGCTAAGGAGATCTGAAGACTTTGCTCAGACTATTTAGAAGGAGAGTATAAGTATTTTGCTGTCCTTTGCATAATTTATTGTTCGGTTTCTTGCAGAGTTTGGAATATTTTGCCAAGGGCAAGGGTAGCAGAAAGGAAGATGGTTATAGGTGGCTGGGTGGTTAATACTAGTAGGACATTGGCACTGACTAATATGGGAAGAAAGATGGGTATAAAATCGCCCCTTAACTGCGTACAACAGCTTTCTGAAACTATGAAGGCTACAAACTTTCTGAAGTTCTAATTGCCAGAAACTGGTTCTGCGGCTTCCACATATAAATGAAATATATGTCAAGATTATTATTAGGAAATATCTGATCTTACGTAAGAGGTTCTGGGGCTCACCCCTTTCTGCAAGCCATGCCCCTGATCTGGGATTCCTGCCCCCTAAGCTTAAATGTAAAGGATGGGCTGTGTTTACTCAGTGTGGAAAGAAAATTAATTCTGCTTTCTACATATGCTCTTATGTGCTCTCTACTTGCTTCATAGGATTCATATGATACTGCTGGCCTTGAGAACAGATTTTGTGGCTGAGTCCTGATTTTGCTTACGTCCCGCTGCCACTTTCATAATCACAAGAAGTTGCTCTGTTTTCTTATATAGGAATATATCCCCAAGATCATTGAACTGGTCGCCAGAAACCGGGATGGCAACCTGCAGGCTGCCGGGCTGCGGCTAATTAATGGATTGCAGTTACCAGATCATGTTTACACAATGCTGAAGGTGCTGCTACCAGACTTCATGGAAATCCTGCTAACGGCAGACATTTTGACTAAGGTACAAACATGACTGAGCTCCTCCTCCTCCTCCTCCTCTGCCACCACCTTCTTGGATACAGACAAAACCTGAGCAGGACAGAAGTACAGGTTCCTGTCACCATTCCCTCCAAAAGATCCTGATAAAAAATGATCTGATCTTTCCCCTAAACTAACTCTGCAAAGAGAGAGAGATGCCAATAGATATAAAAAGGATGCTATTTTATTAGCAGACTGGAATGTTATCTCCAGCTCTCTGTATGAACATGTGAAGCTGTCTTTTATTAAGTCAGTCCAGTGGTTTATCAAGCCCAGTACTGAATGTCTGTTCCAATGGGCACTGGCTCTTGGGAAAGTCCTTCTGAGGTTTCTGAGATTTTGTTAACTGGAAATGCCAAGGACTAAACCTGGAACTACCTGCATGCAAAACACGTGTTCGGTTGTTGAGAAAAGTGCCTTTTCCAGCTGGGGCCATCTGATCTGCTATATTTTTTCACAGTTGAAAATTTCAGTAGAAAATTTTTGGAGTCCCTTAATTATACTCAATGGGAAGGCCATTGTATTCTTGCCTAGTTGGCCCCAAACAAATACATTTTGTAAGCACATAATGTTCAAACTGGAGCATGTCCTTTAACTGTTTAAAAGCCATGCTGAATAAAACTTTTAGCAGTAGCAATACATTGCACAAGCTCTATGCAAAGATGGCATTTACATCATAAAATAACCCATACTCCTCAGCAACAGCATTTCGGTATTGCATAATGGTTGTGTGCTTGTCAGTATCTTTCCAAAGTGAGTGATGCTACATATTCTTGCAGTATAGCTTCACTTGGATCCAAGAACCTTTTATGCTTTCCTTATGCCAATTGTCTTCTATTTGGAACAACATTTATTACAATTTTTAATTTTTCCATAGTAAAATAAAATACTATCATGTGGATTTCATCCAACTGGGACAAACTTGAGGTCTCTTTTACTCCCCAGTGCTAGACTAGTCAGTCACTTTTTCTATCATTGGTAGGTTAAAACCAGGGGTCATTTCGTAGAAAAAGAGCTGCAGGAGCTCATTAGCATAACTTATTCGCATATGCCACCCCCCCTGACATCACTGGAAGTGTGCACCAGCCCCTCTGACAGGCAGAAGGACCTGGGATCCATTCTTTCCCCCCTCTCCCTTCCCTTCGCCTCCAAGTCGGGCGAAGGAAAAGGGGAGGGGGAGGATTGCAGGCGCTTCTGTGACAGAGGTGCTGGCGTGCCCACAGCCAGCCTGGGTGAATTATAGAATCATAGACTCATAGAGTGGGAAGGAACCTCCAGGGTCATCTAGTCCAATACCCTGCACAATGCAGGAAATTCACCAATACCCCCCCCACACACACCCCAGTGACCCCTGTTCCATGCCCAGAATATGATTTAAAAAAAACCTCCAGGATCACTGGGGACCAAACTGGCCTGGAGAAAAATTGCTTCCTGGCCCCAAAGTGGTGATCAGCATTTCCCTGGGCGTGTAAGAAAGGGCCACAAGAACTAAGCACTGATGCAACCCTTCCTGCTCTACCTCTCGTGATTTGCCTAAGTTCACACAATCAGCATTATGATCCTTTTAAAGTTGAAAGCATGATATAAATGCAAAGGACTATTTGTAAGATTATCTGTAAGACACAAGACCAGGACGCATCTGACAATCACTTGGAGAGACCCTATCACTCAGCTTCCATTGCCCCCCACACACCCCACACTGGAATAAGAACATAATATCAGGCCATACCACATTGCAATAAAGCCCCTACAACTGTATACAGAAATACTGAGCTTCCCTACCATTTGCCACAACTAGCCCACCACACAACCAGGATCAAGACTCCTAAGTCGACCAACAGACAGGCATACACTCGTTTGAGAAACTGAGTATTACATTACAACACCTCTGGAACATTACAGATCAGTAGAGGGAGCACTGCACAGTGGTCAGAGTTGCAGATTGATGTGGGGAGACCCAGGTTTGTATTCTCACTCTGCTGGCTGAGTGACCCCGGGCCAAATCTCCCCTTCTCTACCTAACCTACCCCACAGGGTTGTTGTGAGGGTAACACACACACAATTTTTAAAAAGGTGTTCAAAAGTTGGAACTATTGGAAGGGGAAGGACTTGCCTGGGGCACCACTGGATCTAGGGCTGGTCCTGCATACATGCAGCTGGGATGAATCTGAATTAGCGTTACAGAGTGCTCAGGGGTAAAATCTGTAGGGGCTTGCTACATGTCCCCACCCCCTGGCCTCCTCTCAGGGCCGGCCCCAGTTTTTTAGCACACTAGGCTGCAACAAACTTTGCAACAAAATCTGAAACACTATGTACAACAAATACTTTTCAGCAAACTAAATCCTGGCTTGAGTCCAGTGGCACCTTTAAGATCAACAGATGAGCTTTTTTGTGCACAAACACTCTTCTTTAGATACAATGAAATATAGAGAGAGGGTGGGCAGTAACTTCACATACATACTTTTATTTAGCAGGAGCAAGACAAGAGACAGCCGGCTCGCAGGCCGGTATATATGCACAGAAAACCCTTCACCAAAACACACCCCTAATTACCCTATAGGCTATTTACAGTAGCCGAGAGTCCCATAGGCTCTCGGCTGCGGACCTGGCCCTCTGATAGGTGCGGGCTAGGATCCTGTTCTCTCGGAGCGAAGCTTCAGGGCTTTGCTTGACTGCATGGCCCAATGGTCGTGCACGTGGTAAAGGCGGAGTACATTACACCCCTCCCCCCATAGTCCAGGCTACCCACACACAAAGTCCTGTAGGTACGCTGGGGCCTTCCTGGCCCTCGTGGAGTGGCGGAGTTCGGGTGTGATGGTCGTGGGTGCCACCGGCGCCCGGGGCGGGGAGGTTGGTTGTGCTGGTGCCAGGGCCGATGGCGCAGGAGGTTCCGGGGTGAGATGGACTGGAACGGGTGTTGGTCCTGGCGGCTCGGGCGTGGAGACAGCCGCTTCGTCCAGCTCTGTGAACTCCAGGTCCTCGGGGTTGTTCGGGAGAACCCACCGCCGTAGTTGGTCGATGTGGCGGTGGAGCAGTTGGCCGTCCTCGCAGGAGACCTCGTAGGATCGAGGCCCTCGCACTCGAACCACCCGAGCGGGGATCCAAGGAGGCCCTTGTGCATAGTTCCTCGCGTAGACGGGGTCTTCCGGGAAGAACCCCCTCGCGGCTTGGTGCAATTCTGTTGTTGGTTCTTCCTCGGGGGCCCGGTCCGGGTGTAGCTGGTCCAGCCTGGAGGTCAGGCGGCGACCTAACAGGAGCTCGGCAGGGCTGTGACCGGTCTCGGTGTGGGGTGTCGTACGTTGACCAAACAAGAACGCTGTCAGCTTGTAGTCCCAATCCTTGCTTTCGAACCTGCGAAGCGCTTCTCGCACCATGCGCTCCGCCTGGCCGTTCGTAGCTGGGTGGAATGGGGCTGACCGGTCGTGGCAGATCCCGTAGTACCTCGTGAAGTCCTGGAACTCGCTCGAGGTAAAAGCCGTCCCGTTGTCCGTGACCAGGGTATCCGGAATGCCTTGGGCGCTGAAGATGTGCCACATCGCTCTGATGGCCGCCTTGGAGGAGGTTGACGGCACGGGCACTACCTCCAGCCACTTGCTGTAGGCGTCGTCCAGGATAAAAAAGATTTGGCCCTGGAACGGCCCCGCAAAGTCCAAGTGTAGCCGGGACCAGGGTTTGTGAGAGGACTCCCAAGCCCGCGCGGACGCTCGGGGAGGTGCCGGCCGGGAGGCCTGGCAGGGCTGGCACTGCTTCACCTGCCCCTCAATATCCTGATCGAGGCTGGGCCACCACACATA